CTTCCGATTCCTGGGAGACCTCTCCCACCTCCTAGCCATCATCTTGCTATTGCTCAAAATCTGGAAGTCCCGCTCGTGTGCCGGTGAGACGCCCACGGCCGCGGAGGAAGGGGGGGTGCGGGGCACATCCAGGACTCGGGGTTTGGAGGCACTTAGGGGGATCAGTCCCTCCCCCTACCGCTTGCTGGGATCCCCCTTCCAGGTCCGGGGTCACCCTGGGGTCAGTTCCCTTCACCAGACTGGGGGTGCATACAGTTTGCTGTGGGGGGCTCCAGGCACCCAATTCAGCCTCCCCCGGCCCCTCTCTGGGCGGCCCCTGGGTGCTCGGGCTCGAACAGGGAGCGGTGGCAGGCGGGGAGGTGGCTGAGAATTGGTGACGTGGACCGTGGCGGCCAGGAAGAGAGCGGGAGGGAGGCGACCGGTTCTGGAGGTGCTGAGGTCAAGTGAGGTCCTTCCGAGGCCCCACCTGGAGTCTGGACTTGTGAGGACCCCGCGGGGACTGGAGGGTGGCCATGAGGCCTAGCCTGGGACGGAGCCTCGGGCTGGAGTAGTTCTGGGGCCGGACTGCCCCCTGGCTGTGGGCCGTGGGAAAGGACCCTGCTCGGGCAGGGCGGGCTGGGGAGGCCTCCAGGGACCGCTGCCCTCCAGAACTGCCAGCAGGCTGGTCCATCCAGGGAGCTGGGCCTTAGTTTCTCTTCCGTGCAGCCGGCCCCCTGACTCCCCCTCTCTCTCCCGACCACAGGGATTTCAGGCAAGAGCCAGGTCCTGTTCGCTGTGGTGTTCACCGCCCGCTACCTGGACCTTTTCACCAACTACATCTCCCTGTACAACACGTGCATGAAGGTAAGGGCTGTCGGGTGTTCTTGAGGGAGGAGCCAGGTGGGGGAGGTCAAGGGCCCCAGCCTTCCAGGTCTGACGGAGGAGGGGCTGGGGCTCCAGACCCCTAGGACTGAGGCCATCTGGGGAACAGGCCCTGTGCTGGAGCTGAAGCCCCCTCCTCATCATCCCCCTCCACAGGTGGTCTACATCGCCTGCTCCTTCACCACCGTCTGGATGATTTATAGCAAATTCAAAGCCACTTACGACGGGAACCATGACACATTCCGGGTGGAGTTTCTCGTTGTTCCCACGGCCATCCTGGCGTTCTTGGTCAACCATGATTTTACCCCTCTGGAGGTAGGCTTCCTGGTAGGGTCCCTGGTGTGGGGGGATGGGCTGTGGCAGGGCGGCCGTTGACAGTGGACTCTCTCGAAGGCTTCCTCGTGTGGCATTTGCTCAGACGTCCTGACTATAGGACGTAAAGTTCCGCACTCACTATGTGCCAGATGCTGCTCTAAGTATCTCGCGTACGTGGACTCGTGTTTTTCACAGCGACCGCGTTTTACTGACGAGGAGGCCGAGGCCTGGGGAGTCTAAATGGCTCATCCGAGGTCACTGGCCTAGTGAACAGCCCAGTGATTGGGAACAGGGGCTCTGGAGCCAGATTGGAATCCCAGATCTGCTACATTCTATTAGGATGACCTTGGGCATGTGACTTGACCTCTCTGTGCCTCAGTGTACCCACTTGTAAAATCGAGACTGGGTCGTGGTGAGAATTTAATGAGATCAGATTGTGATTAGACACATAGACCATAGAACCAGAGAGCAGGGATTCGAAGCCCACTCGGCCGCTGTGGGACTTTGGGTAAGTCCGTTTCTCTGTGCCTTAGTTTCCTTGCCTGTAAAATGGGGATAATCAATTCCTACTTCAGAGGCTTCTGTTGAGAGGTCGATATTGGTAAATCACAGTGTCTGGCACGAGATAGAAAGAGCTATGCCAATGTTTGTTCGCACCGAAGTGCTGATACTTTTATTCCTAAACATTAGCCGTCATGGTTTTTATTCTGTGGCATTTTGGTGGCATCTGGGCTGATTCCTAGGAGGAATTTTGGGAGGGCCTGTGCTAAGTCTTCACTCTGCTGGCTCCTGGAGCCTGGCAGGAGTCAGATTCAGAGCAGAGCCTCCTCACCCAAGGCCACACCTGCCTTGTGGAAAGGGCCGATGTTCTCAACAGAAGCCACAATTCAGGACTTTTCCTGTAAGATCTCGCTTTAGAATCTTGGCCATGGAGTCAACATATATTTCTGAAAGCACCCTGCCAGCCAGCCAGATCTGACAGAGGGTGACTTTGGTCCATGAGTCCCAGAAATGTCAGGGCGAGGCTGCACCGTGCCGTGGCGGGAACCCCGGGCATGGCTCCAGGCTCTGGACTTTGCACACATGTCTTCACCACCTTGCCTGGAGCACTCACCCAAGCTGGGCCCATTTTGCAGATGGGGAAACTGAGGCTGGAGACAGCCGTGGGGCTTGCTCCAGGTGGAAGACGCCACACCAGAACCCAGGCCCGCTTTTCCGGTTCCCTCATTTAGAAGGGGGAGGTCACTTGTGCAAAGTATTGGCACCGACTGTGTCCAGCTCCACGCTGGTCATTCTAAATAAGCCATCGTCCCGTCTGATCCCTCGGCCACCTGGGGAAGTAGGCATCCTCATCCCCACGTCTCGGAAGACTAAGGTGAGGCTCAGGGGGCAGAGCTCACAGGATTTGGACCCAGGTCTGCCTGCTTCAAAGTCCATGCTATTAGTTGGTGCATGCTCAACAAATTATTTTTTAGTCATAAAAGGAAAATATTCTTTAAAAATTCAGATGTCACGAATAGATAAGATCGATGCAATGAAAACATGACCTCTCATCTCTCCTTATGTCACGATTCTATTCCCAAGGGTGACCCCAGGGGTAACAGGTGGGTGTGCCTCAACTTAATGGGTATCTTTCCCGAGATCCCCCACTAACCTGACTTGCTAGGAGACTTGCTGGAGGATTCTGGGAGATTATGGGAGCAAATCTTGGAGTCAGCTGTCTGGGTAGGAATCTGTTTTGACTGCATTTTAGCTGTGCGACCTTGGGCCTTAGTCTCCTCATCTGTATAATGGGGCTAAGGATAGGACTTACCTCCTGGGGTGAAGGCAGTAGCCATTTAAAACCTGTGAGGTGCAGGGAGCAGTGTCCGGGACGTCGTAAATGCCACGTGAGTGTGCGTGGTTCTGAATATGCCCTGACGTTCCCCACTTCCTCCCCCAAACCAAAACAGCCGAGGGAGAGACGTATCGGCCACCTGGCTGTGTTCTCTGAGGGAGGTGTCAATGGGTCTGCAGATCATGAGTCACCCCAGGTGGGACTTTCAGGTTGCTGAGGACTGAAAGGGGCTGACAGATGTCTGCAGTCCCTTCTCTCCGCTCCCGTGGTGCCCTGTCCTGCTCACTAGTGATGACTGTCACTGGTCCCTAAATGTTGGTCTATGACAAGTATATGGGGAGATCGCTCCCATTCATTCATTCATTCATTCAGGCATCAGATATGTGCCAAGCATCGTGCCAGGTGCTGGGGTCATGGGGTGAACAAGATGTAGGATCCTGGGACTCATGGCTCACGCTCTGGTGAGAGCTGCCAGGACGGAGACTAGACGGGGCGATGGAACATTCCTGGGGGGAGGACGGTCGGGGGAGGACGGTCGGCGGAGGCCTCTCAGGAGCTGACTGATGAGCTGGGGCTGGAAGGAGGCGGAAGAGGCAGAATGCGACACTCTGCGGGGAGAGCTGAGCGAACAGCAAGCGCAAAGGCCCCGGAGCGGTGGGAACCTGGAATGTTGGAGGACCAGGTAGAAGACCTGGCTGCAGCCCAGAGAGCTGCGGGAGGGAACAGGGGATGAGGGTGGACCGAGATTAGATTTGGTTTTTATTTTGGTTGCGATAAGAAGTAGCTGCTGGAGGGTTTTAAGCCAGGGAGTGACGAAGTCTGGTTTATGTCTGTGAAGACGGCGCACTGAATGTCGCCTCCCCAGGGGCAGGAAAACTGTGGGCAGGAAAACCGTCTCCATTTTAGAGACAAGCGCGGCTCGGAAGATCTAGGTCCCATAGAAGAGAAGTCTCCGAGCCCAGATTCCAGCCAGGTCCGCCTTTTTGGGGGAAGCGTAATTGCTAAACGCTCACGAGCACCGACTCGGCCCTTGGTTTGAATCCGAGCTCTGCCACTCACCAGCCGCATGGTCTTGGGCAAGT